AAAAAAAAAAGGGTTTTTGTTTTTAAGAAAACAAATTTTTTATAAAACAGAATGAACAAAACAAAAGAGAATATTGAAATTTATGAAACATTTGAAAGTATGGGATTAAAAGATGAAATACTTAAAGGAATTTATCAACAAGGATATACTAAACCATCAGGAATTCAACAAAAAGGAATTGTTCCAATAACAAAAGGAAGAGATGTTATTGCACAATCACAATCAGGAACAGGTAAAACAGCAACATTTTCTATTGGGATTTTACAAAATGTAGAAAGTAATAAAAGAGAAGTTCAAGTAATAATAATTTCACCAACAAGAGAACTTGCAGTTCAATCTGAAAGAGTTATTAGTGGATTATCACAATATATGGCTATTCAAGTAAGAGGATGTATTGGAGGGAAAAGTGAAAAAGAAGATATTAAAGCAATTGAAAAAGGATGTCAAGTAATAAGTGGAACACCAGGAAGAATCATGGGACTAATTAAAAAACGAGTAATAAATGTTAGACATATTAAAACACTTGTTATTGATGAAGCTGATGAAATGCTTAATAAAGGATTTATGCCAATTATTTATGACATATTTAAATATTTACCTATTAAACGGCAAATTGTATTATGTTCAGCTACACTTACACCTGATGTTATAGAAATAGGAACAAAAATAATGAATAAACCAATAGAAATATTAATTAAACGAGATGAAGTTACAGTAGAAGAAATTAAACAATATTTTATTGAAATGGAAGGAGAAGAACAAAAATTTGATACATTATGTGAAATTTATGACAGTATGACAATTACACAAAGTGTAATATTTTGTAATATGAGAAAAAAAGTAGATTGGCTTACAGAAAATATGATGAAAGCAAATTTTCCAGTAATTTCAATGCATTCAGAAATGCCACAACAAGAACGTGATTATATTATGAATATCTTTAGAAAAGGAGAAAAAAGAGTATTAATTACAACAGATGTTTGGGCAAGAGGTATTGATGTTACTCAAATTTCATTAGTCATTAATTATGATATGCCATTAAATAGAGAAGTATATATTCATAGAATAGGAAGATCAGGTAGATTTGGTAGAACAGGAATAGCTATCAATTTTGTCTTAAAAAATGAAATGGAAGAATTAAGAGATTTAGAAAGATATTATTCAACTCAAATTAATGAATTACCTGAAAATTTTGCTGATTTATAAATAAATAAATAAAAACAATTAATTAATTAATTATTAATGAAAATTTAATATTAATTTATTAATTTATTTATTAATTTATTCTTTTAAATTTATTTTAATTTATTCCTTTTTTCATTATTTGTATTGCTGTTTTTATTGATATTATCATTGTTTCTATTTGATCTTCTTGAAGAACTAAATCAAATGAACTTGTTTGTGTATTAATATGAATAATAACATATGGTTTAATACTTTCATTAGTAATTTCATCTTTTCTTATGATGTTGTATTGAATCCCTTCTTTATTTTGAATCTGTGGTAATTTAAGTGTCTTTTGTGTTAATATCCCTTGTAAACTTTCTTTATATTCTCCATATATTTTTGATATGCTTTCTGCAATTTCTATATCCATTCCAATTTCAAGCTCTTCTTCTAATAATACTTCACTACTAATATCGTATTGTGCTGACGAACATATTACAAATCTGATTGCGGTAATAATCCCTCTTAAATCTGACTCGCTCAATTGACGTCTTTCACAAATTTCAGTTATTTCTTCTTGCTTAAATCCTTCTTTCTTTATTATATTATTAATTATTTCTATGCTAATTTCATTAACTTCTTCATTACTTAGACGTTGAACTGTTCCAATTTCTTTTAAAAGCCAATCTGGAACATTTAATCCTCCACAAAATTGGAATTTCATTCAATTCTTTCTTTTCTTAGTTTATTTTTTAGTTTTCCCTGTTTTTTTTCTTTCTTTTCTTTTATTCTTTCTTATTGTTTTGTTCTTTTCCTTTGAAAAATTTAACAAATATGTTTGCATTGCTTATTGACTAACATCATTGTGTATTGTAAAGAAAAATGTTCAAGACATTGAATTCAAACATTATATAAGAGATTGATTCACAATATCATTAAATTGAATTACATTAATATGAATGATAAAACAAATACTTAGAAATTAGAAAGACAAAGATACAAAGAAAAACAAATAAGAAACAGATAAATACATTGATGACAATGATTATACAAATAACAAACATAAATGATTAACAACAAATGATAGAGAATAGA